CCTTCTAGGTTTCATGGGGTGGGCCAAGTGAAGCTGACGGCTTCGGAGGCGGCTACCATCGAGAACCTCGCCGCGCTTTCTCGTCCGTTGGATTGCAGGCTCGGTTTTTTATATATATATATTGGTTATGAAGTCCTTAATTCGTTGTTTTCCTTTTTAAATAAAAATATTATTGAAGGTAATTACACCCATTTCCACTCCAAAAGAATTATAGGATTCTTTGAAAAATACGAATAATATATAATGGCCAAAAATGTAAAAGAATAGAAAAGAAATATAGGGTTCTTTTTAATGGACATCCAATATCATATTTTAATGTTTATATACAGAAAGGACTGGAATTCAGAATAAAATCATTTCCTATAATCTCTTTTGTCCCTTTCCCTAAGATTATCCAATTACAATATAGACAAAATTCTGTTCTATTTGGTGTTACAAAGTATGGACACTACACTTTATACTCGTGCAATAGGAGAAAAAGGTGGGTTTAGCACATAGGGTAGATTAATTCCCTTCTGAATCTTTGGCACAGTCCTATTCTCTTCTTTCGTGACTGAGTTGATAAATAACTGTACCTCCTCCTCAAGAAGCATTTTCAATGAATTGCATCGAGATATCTGTTGTTTTTTCTCCTGCCCCGCACCATGTAAAATGGCCACACAAATGGAGAAAGCTTGTAATGGGCATAATTGTGCATGGAAATCAACTGCATATTGCCCCTCTTCAACCATAGTCATGCCAAAGGTTGGAGTTCTCTCCTTGGCACCCTATGCATCCAGAATGAGATATAAGTACTAGAAAAAGACAATCAAAATCTCATAAATGAAGAATGCTATAACTGCAGTACTCAATGCAACAGAAAGCTCCAATTGGAATGGCAACATTTATTTGACATCTTATGGAGATGCATGTCTCATGAAATTAGTTCGATGTGCAATGTAGAGTCAGTATCTTTTTTCTTTTTATCCTATTGTAGATGCATATATCTTCATTATACAAAGATTAAATCACCAAAATAAATAGTACATAAAAGGAAAACTAAATGTATGACTATTTTTCCTATATACATCCATTTGTGTGAAATTCAAGGTTTACCTGAGTGAAAAGTTCCAGCGTTTGACATTCCTCCATAAGAGGTCGATCTTCAGTAAATTGAACACTGGGATTGCCTAAAAGAATAAGGGGACAGGCCATGTCCCAGCCACCACAATCACAACCTCCACCATGTTTCCATCTATCTAGTAATGATGAGGGACCCTGGCTTTCAGCACCTGGCAAAACATGGTTGCCAGTTGGTAGTACCACCTTCACCTGTTCTACTGCTGAAGAGAGTTCACTTAGTTTGGAATATGCTTCAGCATTTATTCCACCCCTTCTTTTGTATTTCAAGCTCTCTCTCTTGTGAAATGGAATTTGTAAAACAACTGCAGCAATTTCAGGGTTTGAATGCAATTCTGTGGAAGCCAAAGGATAAGAATTAGAATTATCAAAATCTGTATTGCCTGATGGAAGCTTGTTTTTAGTTGTCAAAGACTCTTCATCTGGCCTGAAAGTTTCTCCCTTCATTCCTACACGGGAAGCATTTAGAGTTTTAGAACAATGTTGCTCGCTGCAAGACTTTTTTTCAGGTGAAACACTTTTTCTTGAGTGTCTAAGATCATACAACACAAATGTTGTCACCATAGAGTTGGCAAACACTCCACCTTCTAATTTGGAACATAAATTAGAGGAAACTAGCATTTGTGCTACCATTGATGAGTCTTTGTCACTATAACGTGATGCCAAGTCAGTGGCAGTAGAAGTACTTTTCTTTCTGTTATCCATTGAGTGAAAGGTATACATCCAATTGAAAGCATTGCCTGATTTCCATGTCTTTGCCACAAAGACATCTTCAGGACACTTTACCTTAAACTCAAAAAATAGATGTCCTTGTTGCTTTTTCAACTTGAGATTGCCATGAAGATGAACTGGTGAACATGATAGACCTGAAAACTGGATATCTCTATTGATAAACTCAGAAATAATCTCAGAATGCTTCCTCGTGTTAGAGAAGTCATTCAGCAAAGATCTCTGATAAGTCCTGTTTCTTGTGCCATTTCTAGTTCCAGTTAATTTGACCTCAGTAGTTTCCAGCACACAACTCACAGGGCTTGTCACAGATTTTGAGTTTGTGAACGGATTTAACTTTTTCCTGATAGAGGTGAATGAGACTCTTGGACTTGATCTTGGTGAGCAGTAACTCTCTGATGGAGATTGTAGGTGAGAGATTTCAACCATAGCAGAGAGTGACTTTTGTAATCCATGAACTGTGTCTTTCTGAAGAAGACAATTACCATCAGTTAGTGAACCAGCAACCTTGTCATTTCTGATCTCAGTATTTATAGAACCAAACCCTTTTACTGCACCATATTTTTCATCCCAAACATCTGAATTAATGCAAAATTCAATATAGCCATTTGAATTGTCATGCTCCATACAAGGCCAGGAACCAGAAACAGATGGAGATGAACCTAAATTTGAGTCCTGAGATACTACTGAAGGTCTCTCATCATCATCCGAACAACATAGAGAATCAACAACACTACCTGAAAAAGAGGCATCACTACTCCTAGATGAAATTTCTATTTTTTTCCTTCCCCTCATGGTTCCCATTTTCTTTATATTTATTACTTGCTCTGAACTCTGATACATGGAACTTCGTTTCATTTCTACATTACCTTCCAGTCCATGAGATCTACAGGGAAGGCTCTTCCATGAAGAATTGAGCAATCTACCAAATTTGATATCAGCAAAATTCTCCTTCAGTTTCAAAAAATCATCTTTCCCAGAGGGCTTCCCATTTTTACATATTTTCTTCTCATTCAAACAATATTGATGAGATGGAAGAACAGTATCTGGACTTAGAACCACAAAAAACTTGTCATTCAGATCCAACTCCAATTCTTGCCCCATCGACAAACTAGAGCCCTGCAATACTATTAAAAGGAAAATTAGAAGAAACTACAAAAATAGTTACTTTGCAAGAGAGATATCCAATAATCCAACTGCATTTGACAATTAATCTGCGTATAATTATTAATAAGCTCAGCTTCCCAATCAGCACAGAAATATAAATAATATTATTACAATGATTTTAATGGTCACACTATATTCAATATTAATGGTTAGCTCCTAACACGCGAGATAAACAGATGAAAACACAATTCACAATTGAAGCAGAATGTGGTAATAATTGAAAGAACAAATTGCTAATTGCGTGAAAGAAATGACACCTACACTATATAACAAATATCTATAACTTTCTAAAACTTCAAATTTTGCAATGCTAATTACAAACTTGCGCGATTGCAAACAATTATTATTGTAAAGGAAGGAAGCGTCCCACCAGCGATCTCAAAAGTTTGAAACTGGATCCCAAGAAAACTTGAAAGTAACAATTTTTATTCCCAGCACCCCATCGGCCCACCCAAAAAAATCCTATATGATCTATAGCCCAACAAATTACAAAAGGAAAAGGTAAAATCTGAAGAACAACCAGAATTTGAGTAAATGGTAATTGCTGCGTGAATGTTAAGCATAATATTCTAAAAATAATACTAAAGTTCACCTTAAAACCAAACCATAACCATTACGGTAGAAAATTGAAAAATAAATAAATAAAATGAAAAGTAGTAAAAGGAAAGGGCCATACTGAAGTAGTGAAGTGAAGAAAAGAAAACCCAAAGAGCGTCAACACACAATCATTGTCTCCAAACTTGAACAAAAAGTCCCCAAGAGTATAACCCAAGAAAAGAGCAATCCTTTCAAAATTTCGAAACAAAGAAGGGAGGGAGTGTGAAGAAGAAGAAGTAGAAGTGGAACATGATAAATGGTGACAGAAGGTGAAGTTAGAACTTACAAGGGTAACAGAGAGAAACACTGAACTCTCTCACACACGAAAAAGAGGGAAAAGAAGAAACAGGAAGCAGATAATCTTCTGCGCATGTCTCTGCTTAAAAAAAGAGTTATGTCCTTCGATCAAGCACCATCATTATCATATGCTGAATGTTCTCTTTTCTCTTTTATTATTATTACTATTGTTATTATTATTGGTCGGTAAGTAACATTCCGTGGTTCTTTGTATTTTATTTAAATAAGAAAAAAAGTTATGTAAACAGTGTTGAGTGTAAAATAACCATTGATAAAAACTGTATAAAAATGGAAGAAAAAAAAGTAAAACTTTCTTAATAAAGTGGAGACTAAGATGGTTCGAGATATTTACCTTTATGTGTCTCCCTCAGCCACCAGCATGTGGGACCGAGAGAGAGAGCATGCACCCGCGGTAAAAAGATCAATAACTCCAAAAAGGAACAACCTCTGTACTGTGAAATGTTGAATAAAGGACAAGGATGTATTGTGAATCTTACCTGTTACTATTTGACAAACGTAGACCGCAATCCCATGAAATTAATAATTAATCACTGTGCATGTGATGATAAGATAATAAGAGGCGTTTTGAGTATAGGATAGGTCATAGTTCGTGTGATAATGATAATGATGATGTTTTTTTTTTTGGGCATATTATGTTGACAGTGGTACCCCTTTGGTATTTCATAATGGGGATAGGGACAGTGAGTGTTGTGTCAAGAAGTGTTATGATGAAATGGTATGAACTAAAAGGAAATTTGGTTGCATGTGTTTAGTTTGGCGTGGCGACAAACCAAATTCAATGTCTGTTGGTCGGTCACATTCTCTTTTGGTGGATCATGATTTATGTTACGTCATCTTCTTAATACTACTTTGATTGATTTATAGAAAATGATTTTAAAATTATTCATCCGAGTGAATTGGGAAAACTACAAGAAACTAGTTTATATTACAAGAAAATGTCTTTGACAAACTACATCAGCAAATAAATATGTCTGCATTTTGGATGTTATTAGAAAATATGTATGCATTCTGGAATGATAGCGAATAATACACTTTCAAACAAAATTTTCTTAATATATTTTATTCTATTAATTAAAATGTATTGAAAATGATAAAATTTATAAAAGAAATTAAGTTTTATCTTTCTTTTTTATGTGTGTTAGGTTATATCTAGTTATAAGTATAATTAAGAGGATTTTATTTATTTTTTAAAATATTTTTCTTTTATCATTTATATTTATCAGTTTATTAAATTAGAGACTAATCTCATTCACAATAAAATATACGAGAATTTTTGGAAAGTATTATTATCTATTGCATTAATTTGAAAATGAATGTCGATTGATAACACGTTAAGTATTGACAATGAGATCATGATTATGTTCGTTAAATTTTCAACATGTTTTCACTTTGGTTCTTGAATGAGAATAAATTATATATAAAAAATTCTCAAAAGTTACTATCACTTTAAAGTTGGACAGAATGGATGTCAATTGATAATATCGTTAAGTACTTATGTGTATATTAAATACTAAATAATGTCTAATGTTTGTTGAAATGGTAGATAATATATGATACATGTATTAAAACTAAAGTAATATCAACTGGATTGTAAAATAATCTTGGCAAGTTCTTGTATGACATGATCTAAGTAAGTTGGTGAAAATTCAATGTATTTGGACAAACTATCTATTTAAAAAATATTTAATAATGAACAAATAATAACATAATATGCATTAACTTGCAACATCATGATCGTTAATTAGTGTGATAAAAATAAGTCATGATAAATTTCAATTTTTCATCAACTAAATTTTAGAGGTTGAAGAAAACCGCCTTTATGACATATATTGTCACTTAGAAGGAGCAATTGCTTGAAATATTGTACATAATTTTGAGCATAGGTGAAAAAGGTAAGATAATGTTTACCTATTGAACTTGAGAAACATGTTGACATTTTTGTACTATCATCACTAGTAACGGTTACTAAAGAAAAAAAGAAAAAGAAAAAATGGAATGTTCGACACTTCTCTCGTAAGTGAATGTTGTGTTCAAGACATTGAGACTCTATGATAACTTCAATTATATTTTATTCATGGTGACAATGATTACCAAAGTATTTTGAATAACTTCAAGCGTGTGATTCAGTGGTAGGAGTTGATCCACGCTTAAGTCAGGGGTTCGAATCTTGCCTTGTGTATGCAGCCGTGTTAAATTTTGGGTTCAAATCTTGCCTTGTGTATGCAACCGCGTTAAATCTTGGGACCAGCTATCCCGCCCCGGATATTCCAGAGACTAACCAAAAAAGTATTTTGAATAATTTATTTACATAACAATGGAAGATTTTTAATGGTTTATTATTTTAACATACTTTAGCCATTTCTATTTTGTTTTTCTTATTACAAGAAATAGAGTTTGTTAGTTACATATTAAAAAATGATTTTGATATAAAATACTAATTATGTTTTAGTATTTTTTTTAAAAAAAAAGCTACTTTCAATTGAGTCATATTGATCCTATATAAATTACTCTTATTATATAATTTATATTAAACTCAAATATTACATCAACTAAGTTCCTAAAAATACAATCCATCAATTTTTAATCCCCAAAACTGGAAAGAAAAAAAAGTCCTTAAAGTTATTAAACAATATTATTTTAATCCCTATTATTAATATATGTTCGTTTTAGTTCTTAAAATTAAAGCAATATAGTTTTTTAACAGATTACTAATTGAAAATACCTAAAAACACTTACACGAGCAGTCAAAATCAAACACACTCGAAACTAAGCATTATTAGGTATCTGCAAACACAGTAGAAAAGAATATTCACATTCTCCTGTTACAAAGAAACCAGAATAAAGCAACGAACTTTCTTCAGTTTTTTTTTTCTTCCCTTTTCTTTTTGTACTGATCGGCACACGTCCAACTACTCAAAGTCAAATACAACTCGCAAATAATATGCATTGAGTAAAGAGCTCACAAATAAACAAATGATTCGAGTAGAGAGCATTATCGCTAAAAGTAACTCTATCAGTTCTATAGAATTAAGAATTAAAGGAACCTATATTTAATAACTCAGAGTGTAAAATGACATTTTTTTTCTTCAATTTAAAGACTAGATTGATTAAAACTTGATATTTCAAGATCCAATAAATGTTTTACTCAATTAAATTTCTATTGACTAGCAATTTTTTTTACTTTGATATGGAAATAGAGCAAAGAGTATACAAAAATGGTATGAGTTTTTTATTATTTTTTATTTTTCTTATTAATGATCGGAAAAAAAAAATGATGAAAATCATATAATAGTAAATGATTAATTGAAGAACGTGAATGGTTCATTCAGAAAAATAGTGGTTTATAGAATAATTAGTTATGAGAGTAAAATTGGGGGCACAAAAATGTGTATACTAAAAATATATATTTCCTCCATATATAGTAAGTATATAGATTTAAACAAATAATCAAAGTCAATTTTTTGTATACTAAAAATATATATTTCCTCCATATACAGTAAGTATAGATATAGATTCAAACAAATAATCAAAGAAAACTCTGAAATTTACAGCTATTACTAACACTACCCTAATGATTGACAACAGTTTATGTGTAGTACTACACAAAACCAACCGCTTGATCTATGCTATGCGCAGAATCAAACAGGACAGATATTTTCATCATTCCTGGATTCAAAAGATGCCATTGGCTGACTTTTCGGATCCACGGGGCACACCAGCTTCATCTGAACATCTTCAAATTTTGCAGAGGCCTATGGCGTTGGGCCTGTGTTTCCCTTTGACGTCGACGCATCTAAGGTCGGCATAGACACCTCATCTCGGGAGGCATACCAGGTATGGCCACAAGAAACACATTCAAGCTGTAATGACAACAAAGCAGCAAGAAATCAAATCAAGCCATAAAAATGCAGGAGCAGGACACAGTTTTGGAACTCTGGACTAATAAATTAAAAAAAATGCATACCTGATAACGTTCATTATTTCCAGCTTGGATAATATCTTTCAAACCCACCTTACAATTCATGCATTTTGAGCAGCGGGCATCTGTCATCTGTTTCAAGGGAAGGAAACCTGAAGTCAGCATATATCTTCACGCAACATTACAGATAATGAGATAATAAAATTGGAGGGAGGGAAATTTACTTGCAAGTGCTGAGTCTCATCACGCTCCTTGGTTCTTTCCTCAGCAACCAAACCCTCCTGAAGACCATAAGAAACTATGCATCAACAAGTAGTTTAATCTTTTACCAAACCAGCTAATAGAAATTGATGACAAAAGTTACCAGTACTTTAATTCATAGTTGCTTTATGATGTGTCGAAGTATTTTTTTGCTGTTTCAATAAAAGGCAGTGCAAATTGCTTTTCTGAACATCAACCATTAGTTTAGAGTACCCTTGAAAAGCATGAGCTATTTTTAGAAGAAAGTTCTCAGAAATTTTATATGATATATTTACCAAACCTATGCCTTTAGTAAGTAGACTCAATTCCAACAAAGCAATTCCAAACAACACAAGTACTAAATTGAGAACTAAAGCTCTTATACGAGTGGTCACAAAGGTTGAATGTTCATCTACAATAAATTATATAATATATTGGAAAGCTCTTATACGAGTGGTCACAAAGTGAAGTGCCGTAGTACACAGCTGCCGGACATCAGCTCTTACAGAATTGAGATTTTCATATCGACTAAAGATAAGACTTAAGTAGTGTTCATAAAGTTTGGATAACTCTCATCACACAAACCAATTTTGTAAGATTAAGTTAATTGGTTTGCTTACATTGGCACACTACAATCCCATAGCCTTAGGTGTGAGGGTGTTGAAAAGTTGCCTTAATGGCAATCACTCCTAGCCTACCTTAATTGTGGCTTACTAGAGTTGGTTGCCAATGTCTCGGAGACTACCTATGTAGAGGGCTAGGGACAGAGCAAAAAGGCTGAGTGAACCATTATGATATTTGAGAGACTAAAATTGTTCAATTAAAAATTGAAGGACCAAAATCGTGCAATTGCAATTCTTTAAGGACTAAAATTACCCAATTAAAATCTTGGGGATCAAAACTGCACAATTGTATCAAAACTGCATCCACGTGGCCAAAAGTTAACTCTGTTTAAATAATTTGGACGGAAGTCCCAAATTGAAACCAATTAGTATATTTGGGACCAAATTGAAACCAATTAATTAATTTAGGACCAAATTGAAACCAAAAATAAAATTGGGACTAAATTGAAACAAACAATTATTATAAGGGACCAAAATAGGTTTTTAGCCAAAAATTGTCTTCCACGTGGCATCCACGTATGCATCTATGTGGCATCCACGTGGCCAAAAATTAACTCCGTTTAAATAATTTGGACGGAAGTCCCACATTGAAACCAATTAATTAATTTGGGACTAAATTGAAACCAATTAATTAGTTTAGGACCAAATTGAAACCAAAAATAAAAGTGGGACTAAATTGAAACAAACAATTAATATAAGGGACCAAAATAGGGTTTTAGCCTTTTAAGAATTATGTTCTTTTCTTTTATTAAGCTAAAAAGTTTCAGCCGATAGATAATTGACGGGTGGGGAAAAAAGAAAAGATGCTTCAGGCTGAAATAAGAAAATAGTAGAAAATCTAGGAAACAAGTTCATCATTTCATCACAAGCAGACAACTTAACAGTTCAATTGAACCTTTTGTAAAAGATTCAAGCTTGTAGATATCATACCTTTAATTCATTGGGTGTCATATTTAATATTTTTGAAGGTTCCAACTCTCCATTTAATAGATGGCGTGCTAACACTGCATTTTTCTGAAGAGGACAAAAAAAGAACAATATAGTCAATTCATTATCATTGCAAGAGAGAAACATATACAGAAGTTGGAAAGCCACTTTTTTTGTGGTCACCCCTAAGCCGCATAAATTGCAGCCTTAGAAAGGGCTACCTACAAAAAGGCTAACCATAAAGGCTAAGTGAAGTGTTATAGGGTGCAACTACCACTGCAAGAACTAGAGATAAGACCTAAGTAGTGTTTCTAAAACTTGGACAATCCATTCTAGTTTTGTGGGGTTAAATTAGGCTCTAAACCCAAATTCTAATATGGTATCAACCATTGTTTGTCTACCTGCATTGCCATGCTCCAAACCCATAGCCCTTTGAATGAAAGGGGGCATTGGAAAGCCACCTTAATTGCAACCTATCAAAGTTGGTTGTAAATGTTTCGGAAAGGACTACCCCAAAGGGGTTGAACAAAATGGACAAGTGAAGCATAGTAGTATGCAACCATTGAGACATTGGCTCTTATGGAGTTGAGATCCTATATTGACCGAAAATAAGGCCTAAGTGGTTCTTATAAATTTTGGGCAATCCTTATTGTACAAGTCGGTTTTGTGAAGTTTAGTTAGGTCACAAGCTCAAACTTCAAGATAGTATCCAAATCTATCTTAGATTAGTTGTTATGCTTATGTCACTTACATTGCCATGCTTCAAGCCCTTAGAGCCGGGCACGAGAGAGTGTTGGGAAGTTGCCTTAATTATGCCAAACCTAACCCGCTTTAATTGCAACCTATTAGAATTAGTTGCTAATGTCTGGGAAATGGCTACTTATTACAAAGGGACTAACCAGGAAGGCTAAGTGAAGTGCTGTACTGTGCACAACCATTAGGACATCAGCTCTTAGGGGGTTGAGATCGCACATCGATTTAAAAAATACCAAAGTAGTGCTTATAAAGCTTGGGCAATCATCACCATACAAATTGGTTTTATAGGATTGAGTTATACTCTAAGCCCAAATTCTACAAATACATATTCATATTGATTTCTCAAGCCAAAAATATCTCAAGTATTGGTTGTGGTGATGATGAAAATACGGATAAGTATTGGAATATATAATTATTGTCGCATCTAATTGATTTTTCCCATTTATTCCAATCATAAGAGGAGAATTGCACATAGATATACACTATGTTATATACATATATAAATTACTTGGTGTGTAATAGCATGATCATCCAACTTTCCAATTTATCATTTCTTTAATTTGAATAAAAATATAATGCATTTTTTTCAGAATTGTAACCTCTTAATTAGACAATAATTTTAATAGATAATAAGAACAAAGATCAATACAAGTTTAAAAGTACCATCTCATAATTTAGCAACAACATTGTTTTCTGTTTTTGATTTTCCAATGCAATTTTCAAAACAAGTCGTGTTTGGTTAAAATAGATTTGAAATAATTTTTATCTCAATTTCAAAATATTTTTGCATTCATATCAAAACCAAGTAAAAAGAATTTATGAACCTGATTTTTAATTTTTAAAAAATCCACTCTCATTATATTTGACAATGATCGTTGACCATCACAACTTTCCCCACCATTAACATTGTCGTCGTCACTATTACTACCACTATCACCACCAACACCTCTACCATCACCACCACCATAATATAAACAAACTCTTAAATTAATTTTAAGAAAACTTTTGGTTGTATATTTTCTTGAAACTAAAAATTATAAAAGAAAAAAAATAAAACTAAAAATTGGAAACTAGTTGTAGTTGTTTAAATTTTTTAAGCTTGCAACTAAAAACCACCCCCAAATTGGCCCTTAGTCTTTTCTATGCCTCAAATGCAATAGTTAAAAATATCTCAAGATATGCAGAAGCCAGCTTCTGACCTGGAGATTAAAAGCTAGTTGCCGCAACTTTTGGTTGTACTTCGTAGAATCTGATGAGAGAGCACCGTATGAAGCTTTTTCAAGAGCAACTACGGCTGAAACAACAGCATCTGGCCAAATAAAAGAGTTGGAACTCTGTAGGCGGAGGGGGGATGAGAGAGACACCAAATTAGGAAATGGAAATCGATAAGAACAAAAAAAGAAAATGATTAGTAGCTAATGGCCTAATAAAACAGATTAGCCATACCTTTTGACCCTTGTCTTGACAGTCATTTGCTGATTCTGAACTTCTACTCTTGCTTCCAACGTTAATTTCATCAGAAGAATTAACATTTCCTAATCCATTGTCCTTTTCTTTTCTATCATTAGAATCACACATGTACTGCATGCGTTGAAGCAACCTCTCCAACCATTTGTCACGATGGCTATCTCCAGTTAGAGCATTGAATTCTACCAATATGCGATAATACTCTGAGGCATTAGGTACACAACTCGCTGGTGTTTCAGACTTAGAATGCAGTCCACTTTCAAGAGTTTCTTCCTCCTCCCTTGAAACATCAAGAGATGAATCACTCTTTCTCCTTAAGGTTTTTCCAACTTTCAGTTGGTCCTCATCATCAGCAGGGGCCTCCTCAGGCTCAATGTCAAGTAGTTCACCAATCCGCCTCAGAGTCTTCTGAACAAGCTCATCAATCTCACTCTGTTTAATATCCTCATAGTCCTTATCACTCAGCCTCCAGAGTTTTCTTTCAACAGTGTCATACACTTTCTGTACAATGAACCCGGGATGATCCTTACGTTTCGGAAGTTGTTTATGCAAGGGAATAAAATGTACTGCACACTTATGCATAACAGCCTCCGCAGGAACATTGTCACGGTGGAAGCTATAAAACAGCTCCCTCGTATCACACGACTTCCAGTTTCCACCACTTTTTTTCTCAGCTTCTTCAGGGCGATAAAACCACTGCCCCGTCACTATCACGTTACCATTGTTGCCCTGCGTAATGTCCTGACAGCAGAACAAAGTCAACAAACCATGTCCCTTGAAAAATGGGCAGAAAACACTTCATAACATGAATGCAGCCACAAAAAAAGTATTTATAGGGGGAAAATAATAATTATATATCATGCTTCGTGCATGAATCAATAGCAATTGACAAGGGAAATAGATAGTGCACCTTAATAATGGCGACATATGGTTTTTGGCCTTTTTCCTCGGGGACGAGAAGAACAGGGTCCTCCTGCACAAATAAAACGAAATTGGGAACGATTTTGTTCACTTAAAATCCCTAAATTGTGAAGAGTTGACCAGAAAAAGGAACTTACGAGACTATATTGGATGCCGTCGAATTCAAAGGATTCATAGTGCTTCTTCCTGCCTCTTCCTTTTCCCGAAAACCTAACGGGCTCGCCAATGGGCTTAGCGTCCTCCAAAGGCTGAGGCCCTTCTTCCTTAATCTCGTCATCGTTATCGTTATCTTCCTCCAGAAGCCTCATCCGCTTCCGCGTGCGTTGTGGACGCGCTTCCACTGATTCGTCTTCATCGTCGCTCGTCGCAACCCGACTGAAACGTCGATTCCCCATTGATATTATGCTCACTGCCTCGCCTGAAACTCCCCAAACAAGCACACTCAATGTATTATAAAATATTTTTTAAATGATATTTATTTATATACGATACAGTTTAGACATATTCAAAAAATTACAAAAATGTGATATCATATAAAATTATAAAATAAATACTTGTAAGATTTTGTTGAAATTATACGCAAAAAAATTATTTTTTAAAATTTATATAAACTAAGCAAATTGTAATTTAATATAATATTTTTAATTAAAACTAAAAACTTAAACTTTAATAAAAACATTGATAAATCCTAATTAAAACTAATTGATACAAGCAAAATAAAGAACTTAATAAAACACTTGATAAAAACGGTAGTCTATGTAATTAAGAAATATTAGAGGATCATTTCTAATAATATTACGATTTTTAATTATTTTTAATTAAGAAACATTATTATATTTGCACTTTAATTTTATCATCATAATTAAATAGTTTTAGTAATTATATTATATTATAAATAATGTAAATAATTAGTAATTATTATTAATATGAAAACAAATATATAAAAAAAAAGTTGTGTATTCTATTTTTTTTATGTGTAATATGATATATTAAACATAAATTTTATCTCACGAGACATTTTTAAGAGTTTTTATTTGATGACAGAATTTTAGAGATTTTTTTTAAAATTTTTTATATAAATTAATTTTATTTATCATGATTATTTATGAATTAAATTTTAATATTTTAAAATAAATTATTAATAAATAAAAATACTATTAAATTATAAAATAAATTATTTATTATAAATCTAACATATAATTTATATGTTTAAAAATATTTATTGATATAAATTTTAAATGAAATTTATATATTTAAATATAATATTTATTTTTATAACTTGTTATAAATTTTAATTATATATAATAAATATTTTAGTTATGTATTACATACTAAAATAAGAAGAATCTTGGCATTATTAAAATAAACCAAAATTAAGGATTTTTTCAATAAGAATTTTGGGATTATCAAAACAAACCAAAATTAACAAATCGTTAATTGATTAAAATAAATAAAATATATTTATTTATTTTAATAAATTATCATGCATTGACCAAAAATATATTTGTTTTATATATTTATGTTTGTTTTAATTATTAAATATTTTTATCTAATTTATTTTATAATTTTGATATATTTATTTATTTTCAGTACAAAAATTTAATAATGATTAGAAATTATTAAAATATTTTTATCTAAATTTTATTTTTTTATCATT